TAAACAATGAGCAGCCTGTGGCCAGAGGCGTACCTAGGGTCTCCAGCTCCCTTGGCGAGGAACCAAAAAAATCTGTCAGCACCGAAGTTGCTCTTTAGTGGATAAGGGAGTTCTCTGGATTTTTTTTATTGTATAAATTGGCTCCCAGCTGCACCCTATTTATGCAAGTAAAGTAAAATAACGGGGGTGGGGGGCACAAATTGCCTCAAAACCCGTTTTTCCACCAAAACTCAGTGCTTCAAAGCTATCCCACGAACCCACTGGAAAATGGGGAGAAAAACTAAAAAACAGAGACCGGACACACCCAAAACGGGGCCTGACATCGGAGATTTATTCCGACAGGCGCAAGGGGCGCATGGGCCCAAAATGGCCACTGACCTTGCTGACTACACAGACTCCTCAGACGACCTGAGCCTCGAGGACTGCACAGGCGGTATGTTTGCCCTATTAGCCAACCAGCCCCGAAAAAGGGGCCATCCGACCCAGTTACCACAGAGACGCTGCCATCCATGCTGGGTGACTTACAGAGAGTGCAGCAGGCAGACGTGGCCCAGCTTAGCACGGACTTGACAGGCCTGGTAGGCCACATTGGGGTGCTGGAGGCCTTGTCGGACAGACAGGCGCAGGTCATAAAGGAGCTGCGATCAGAGGTACAAACACTCAAAAAACACAGAGGCCACTGACCAACTATTCGCGGCCCTTGAGGACCTCAGAAGCCACAACAACGTGAAAATACGGGGCATCCCGGAACGACATCCCAGCGGAGGAACTCCGCATCTAACAAGCAGGCTCATCTGAGCACTTTTAATGCCAAAACAGGCTGCCCATGAAGCAGTTTTCAGAGTCCCTAAGCCGCGGAAAGCCCCAGCCACTGCCTCAGGAGACGTTGTAGTGAAATTCCGCACGGGCGCCGACAGGGCAGCGGTCCTCGCGTCCCTCAAAGGAAGAACACCATATGTTTTCGAGAATGCAGCCCTTACCTTCTACGCCGACCTGTCCAGGGACCCCCTGCAGTGGCAACGCTCTCTCCAACCATTCACAGCGCTTTTAAGGCAGAGTGACATAACATACAGATGGCGCACACCAAGGGCTCTGCAAGTCCAGCGAAACAATGCGACATACACAGTAACAGACCTACAAGGAGTGGAGAAGCTACTTCCAACTCTCGGTCAGCAAGAAATCACTGTGTAATTTGACTCACTCTGATTGGTGGATTGAAGGTAACCAATCAGATTGTTATGAGTCAAATTACACAGCGTGGGAAAATTCCAAAGAACTTTCCCACGCTGTGTAAAATGACACAGAGGACTCTGGCTGGATTTCAAGCTAACCAATCAGTGCTGTCATAGGTAAATGTAGAGACGTACCTGTAAGTCTCTTCATTTACTTGTCAGAGCACTCTGATTGGATGGCTTAAACCAACCAACCAGAGTGCTCTGAGCCTAATTGCAAGGCGGGGCAAGGCTTTTGTAAGGACAATAGGTCCCCCCCTTATTCTAATTTAGGGCCCCCACCCACCGCTCAGGGGGGAGGACAATAGGTCCCCCCCTTATTGGTATTTAGGGCCCCCACCCACTGCTCAGGGGTGGGGGGCAGGGAGGGAGGACAACTTAGGGCCCCCACCCGCCGCTCAGGGGTGGGGGCCCGGGAGGAGGACAATAGGTCCCCCCCCTATTTTACTTTAGGTCCCCCACCGTCCATGGGGGGGTGGGGACTTTTTTACAGTGAGCAGACACAGGCTGCTCACTGTTTAATAGACATGCCCCTACTCGTGGTATAGCGAGTAGGGCATAATTTACTAATACTAAGTAATCTTCACTTAGTATTAGTAAATTTGGCTGAAAGACCAATTTAGGTCTTTCAGCCTTTTAGTAGACAGCTCCCTAATACTGTGGGAATTAGAGAGTTATCTACTTATTCATTCCTGTCATTCCATTGACTGGCTAAGTAACTTATATTTTATATGAATGTGTGTTACTTGATTGTTGTAAGTAACATTCTTCATTCTTCCAGTGGGTAGGTATATTAGTACTTCGGCACTTCAACACTTTGGCCATTCAGAACTTTGGCAATTCGGACATTCGGAAGTATCCGAATTTCCCGAAATTCGTCCGAATTTACATTCGGAACGAAACGAATTGCACATGTCTAATAGGAAGCAGGATAGTCTAAACAAAGTTATTGCATATGGTGGCAAGACTTTGTCACCGGTTGAAGTTAAATTCAACACCTGTGAGAAGGTGTTATTGTCGACTGTTTGGGCACTACAAAATTTTAGTAGCTATATCCAAGGTGAGAAAATTATTGTAGAAACTGCTCACCAACCTCTACAGTATCTGGAGAGTGAAAGAATCAGAGTTGGTAACCTCTCTAACAGTCGGATTACTGAATGGGCTCTATCCTTACAGGGATAGTCGTTAGAAGTCCGTTATAAACATAATAAGAGAAGCCCAGTTGCCCAAGGTTTAGCAGAATTACATGACTGTACTGCTCTATCTCTGGATGATAATGACACCGGAGATGACTTCCTTGAAGAGCAATTGCTATCCCCTTATAAAGTTTATGATGAGGAATACTGTCGACCACTACCGTGTGTATACATTGATGGTTGTTCATATCACCACACCGTTGGTAATGAATGGAAGTTAGTTGCAGGTTTCGGAATTGCCTGGATAGGTGATTATCCTAATGTAGCTATAGGATACAATATTGGTCCCAAAAGCAGTCAGATAGCCGAACTCTGTGCAGTATATAAGACCATTCAAATAGCAATAGAATATGGTATCAAAGAATTCGTTATCATAACTGATTTCAACTATGTTCGCAACAGTTTTGTCGAATCTCTGCCTAGCTGGAAACTTAACCAAATGCTGAAAAGCAATAACGACCCTGTTACACATGGGAAATTGTTTTGTAAAATCGATGAACTGGTTAATGAAAGAGGTTTAACCATATATTGGAAGAAAACCAAAGGCCATTCTAAAATACAAGGTATTGACAAGGAAGGTAACGCCCATTTACTGGCAAAACAAGCTGCCATTGTAGCGGAGATACAATATTCCACAGATTATCTCCGCTTAAGATCCCAGTGAGGCTCAGGAACAAGTAAATTATAAATCCACAGGCAAGGTTTCCAACAGGCAAAATAATCCAATAGTATCCCCACAGCAATCCCAATGACTGGACGACACACAGTATCAGGAGCAGAACTGAAGCTTTATTCCACAGTGGCCTTTTAAAGCATGCTCCCATGCAAGGGAGGGATTACATTCATTAACACAATAGCCAATCCTGTCCTGGTAACCTCCTACACATCTCCTCCCTTCAGCCGGCATCATAATCTCCTTATCCAGTACAGCAATTCCCCACATTTCTGGATATACCCCTAAACCTAGGGGTACTACTTTAAATTATGCATCCCCTGGTAGCCCTGATCTGGGTGAACAACATATCCAAAAATCACCCAGATCAGATCAGGGGTTCGGGAATTTCATGGAGGGAATAAAATGACTGTCCGCACTGGATGAACTAGCCGAGAGGCTGGGGAGGGTTCGCCTGAATCCCCTCGTTTGGTTGATTATGCCTACCGAACGAGGGGCCGTTCAGTAGTTTGGAACCGAACGGACCGGGCTGATGGAGGTCTCAGCGGTGTTCGCCTAGTCGAGTGTCCGTTTTGAGTTCCAGACACTTGACAGCAAAACACCGCTGTTCGGGAGTTTAACATTAACACCCCCGAGAACAAAGGATTGCTACACAGTGTAGCGGATGGCACCAGGCGACCCTACAAAACTACTGTATAAAGCTGCATCCGTGTATCTGCTGTATTTTCTGTGTATTAAAAAGAATTGTATTCCTCTGATTGTTCGGTAGTTTCATTCCCTTAGTTTATTCAATGAAACTACCGAACAACCAGACCTCCCCTGTGTGAAGTGTGTCCTCAATTACCCGTTGCAACATTGTTGCGAACGGGTAATTGAACAGTAAGTAGCCGTCCTTTGTTCTCGGGGGTGGCCGCCATTCGACAAACGAACACGTGGCGGCGGCCATTTTAAAACTCCCGAACAGCGGTGTTTTGCCGTCGAGTGTCTGGAACTAAAATCGGACACTCGAGTAGGCGAACACCGCTGAGACCTCCACAGCCCTGGTCCGTTCGGTTCCAAACTACCGAACGGCCCCTCGTTCGGTAGATAGAGAATACCGAACGAGGGGATTCAGGCGAACCCTCCCTAGACTCTATAGCTAGAGGCTTTCGTGTATTTTATTCCCTTATGCCAGGACCGACCGCAAGGCCCATTCACATGGAACCGAATTCGGCTATCTCAGTTCGTGCGGTCGGTCATTTTATTCCCTCCATACTTTTCCCGAACCCCTGGTCTGATCTGGGTGATTTTTGGATATGTTGTTCACCCAGATCAGGGGTATCCGGGGATGTAGGATTTAAAGAGGTACCCCTACGTTTAGGGGTACATCCAGAAATGGGGGGAATTGGTGTGCTGGATAAGGGGATTATGATGCTGGCTGAGGGGAGGAGATGTGTGGGAGGTTACCAGGACAGGATTGGCTACTGTAGTAATTACTGTAAGTCCCTCCCTTGCATGGGAGCATGCTTTATAAGGAGACTGTGATTAAAGGCTTGTGAGTTATGCTCCTGAAACTGTGTGTCGTCCAGTTATTGGGATTGCTGTTGGGATATTGCTGTATTTTACCTGCTGGAAACCCTGCCTTTGGATTTACTATTTACTTGTTCCTGAGTCTCACTTGGATTATAAGCGGAGATAACCTGGGTAATATTGCAGCTCCGCTACACACAGCTTGTCAATTACCCGTTCGCAACAATGTTGCAACCGGTAATTGAAGGCACACTTCACACAGGGGAGGTCTGACTGTTCGGTAGTTTCATTCGAACAAACTAAGGGAATGAAACTACCTAACATTCAGACGAATACAATACATTTAGCACATAGAACTTTGCTATTTTACACGAATGCATTCCCTTACTGCATATACATTTAGCAAATAGACGAATACAGGTTAAATATAATACAAGTCCCAGGGCAGCTCATGGCCATCCGCTACAGCCATCAATGGTGAAACCCTAAACATCAACGATCTTATGGGTTCATATCATGTTGAAGCCATAACTAGACGACAGACTAGAGATAATGCCGACTTAAATGTCGCGCAATGGAGTCAAGAAGCTCCTAGTGAGGACCTGATCACCAGTCAAAAGAACGATCCTGCTCTAGGCATATTATATAGACATATAGAAGACCTTACTGACAATCCCATCACAGATGAGGATTGCAAAGACAATGAAGATTTACGAATCTTGATAAGATATAAAGTCCAATTTAGTATCAATGATGGGTTGCTTGTCAGAACTTATAAACATGGCATACAACAATGGATAGTCCCAACTGTATACTGAAGGTTAATGCTCCAACACGCACATGATGCACCTACATCTGGGCATCGTGGTGATAAGATCACATATGAGATATTGCGTGATTATGCATATTGGCCACGCATGTTAGGAGATGTAAAGACGTACTGTCAGGGATGCTTGATTTGTCCGCAATATCAACCCCATGGTCAAACCCATCGTGCACCACTTCAGAAGAGGGGGATGTCTTTACCCTGGTCTGTTATTCAAATTGACTTTATATGTCCTGTAACAAGATCTTCAAGAGGTAACAAATACATGTTAACCGTTACATGTATGTACACAAAGTGGGTTGAATGTTTGCCTTGCAAAGAGAACACGAGAACCGTGTGTGCAAACAAAAGCTACATATTACATACCGCGCTGGGCCGGGGATTAGGGGTAAGTATGTTAAGGAGTCTGGGAAAGACTTGGACATTAAATTGCCCTTGGTTTTAATGGTGATTAGAGCTACACCTAGCACTGCTACCAAATTGTCACCTTTTGAATTGATGACAGGAAGAAAGATGGTTTTACCACAGCATTTGCCATATCGTATATCTGATCATAACTGATCGTAACACAGTAAAGGAGTTTAAGCATGCGTGGGATAGGCATAAAGCTATCCTAACTATAAGATAGGGCCAGGGACTAATGAAAGTATTTAGAAAATTGGGCAGACTAGATGGGCCGAATGGTTCTTATCTGCCGTCACATTCTATGTTTCTATGTTTCTATAACTTGATCAATGCTGCCACTACATATCAATACTTAGAAAATTTGCGCAAGCAATTACAGCATGTGTTTGCTTTTGCCGAAAAGAATCTAGAAAAAGCAGCGACAGGAGTTAAGACTTATTACGATTTAAAAACCACGAAAAAGGAATATGAAATAACAGATCAAGTCTATCTGTATAACTTTGCACGAAATCAAGTCAAGGAAAATAACTTCTTACTGATTTAGATCAAAGAAAACTTTATTTGTCTATCTACTCCTTCCAAATTGATTAATTAATGCGTGCACGCTCTTCCTAGAAGTAATTCACACTGGAGACAAAGTTTCTGATTAGTGAAAAACCTGAGGAATGCCTTTATTCCCCGGAGTGGGAGCCCCTTTTAAAGCAGAAATACATCATGTACAGAGTCATAATTAACATACAGTATTCATTTAACAATTGGTTAACAGTCCAAGGGGTCTTGTCTAAACCCCCCCTACAGGATGTAGTGTCGTCATTACAGAGTTCTCCCACCCATATTCCAGCTCCATTTTGGTTTACACGATGGGAGGGGGAGTGAGTAGTAGTTACTGAACAGAGAGGGGCTGAAGAGGAAACAGTTACTTTAACAGCGATTCTCCATTTTGTTACACGTGGCACATTGCTGTTAATTTACACAAAGGAAGTGGGGAGGAGTTTAATAAAGGAAGTTGTTCTTTTAACACAGGAATTTGTTACACAAGGCTTGATCGATGGGAAGGGTGGAGGCTAGCAGGATGGGAGGAATTTGCAGAGAAAATAGTGACTGAACACATTGTAGGGGGGTAGGGAATGTTTACTCTAGCAGCCAGTTTTAACATAGTGAACACAGAATAAATAGACATTAGTAAATAGCCATTTTATTTTAATTCTTTTGTCCATAACATTACCTTCTTGGAAAGGGCCATATGTCATAATTGATAAAAATTTCCCCAGTAGTCTACAAGATAAAAATTCCTAAGGATGGTGATTTTATTGAAAAGTGTGTTCACATTAACCAGTTGCGTGCTTGTCATCCTAAATCTCAATTAAGGATTATAGGTGCGGATTCGGATGAAAAAGAGTGAACGACTAACCTGGATGAATGCTTGATTCACATGATATCGTATGATGTGAAATGTTGTGATGTGCCATGATCTCATGTATGTTCATGTCATTTAACCATTTCCTTACTGTGGCAAAAATAACCTCACCACTGGGTTTTGGAGGGGCCTGTCTGCCAGCTTTTTGCCTCAGGATTATGGACCCTGCAAAAAGACATGCTAAAACGTCTATTTGGGCTTATTGGATTTTAAAACACTTTGTCTGCCCCTTTAAATCCATGGGAAAATGTGCCTCATCTCTCCCCCTTTTTCCTGTCTTATTGTTCTCCAGCAGGGTGTTGTCCCAGGGACACTGCCAGACCAGTTAAAACTGGCTGCTTTGTCCCTCCTCAATCTCCCATCAGCCCTTGCTATTGTTTAACCCCATGGCGATCCAACTATATTCATGAGATCTGAACGCTTTTCGGACATATTGAGCGCTCAGATCCAAGCTATCTGGGGATATGTTGGACATATAGGTTAAACATTGTTTTATAAGAGTTATGTATTTTTATGTGGTTTTTGTAACAGTTTTTGACTTAGAGATAGTTTCTGTTACTGCAGATAATTAAGTTACCACAGCCACTTAAGCCAATTATCTCCAGGATAGAGGAGGAGACAGACCGGCCGCACAGCTTAAATCTGTGGAACTGTTTTGGGCATGAAAGCAAAACATCTTGTAGCAAGCACGAAAACCTTTTGGATCCAGTACTATTTCGATGAGCAACCCAAAAAGTTCCTCACCGCTTTTATTGTTGCATTGGTTTGTGCCACTGTTTGTGCAGTTGTCGCAACTGGAATGTCTGCGGCTAACTCTATTTCAGTCCAGAAACTGGATATGGAAATCTTTGCACTAAAGCAGCACATTAACAATATTCATCAGGTGATAAAACAGCAAAGAACACTTCTCCAAGACGTGTTAACTATTGTGGAAGACACAGTTGTTCCAACAAATTTGCATTCCGAGTTAATTGCCAAGTCCACTGAGTAGCACCAAAGTCACAACTTATTTAAGCGTGAACTTCTATTTCTGCATGACCCAATATTGTTCCACACACTTGCTTTTCTCGACGAAGTGCAAACTGAAATGATTGAATTGGCAGGGGGACGCATACCTCTGTATTTTGTATCCAAGGATATTGTTCATGCGATGCTTGCCAATGTGGATGGAGATATAATTGAACCTATGCAATTAAATCTGGCCTTTGAGATGGGGAGTGCTCTACCTCTCTTAATTGGAGATTTGAAAACAATTTACAATGTTGGTACATGGAAGGAAGATGTCCACGTAAAAATTCAAACCCCAAATGTTTTGGCTTTCAACCGTGGGCACCAGATTGGTATGCAATACCCATTTTGAATGACTGTGAGAAATTCAAAGACAGTCATTTCCAGTGTGATGGAAAACCTTTCGTGTATGATTCTACCAATGCTTTGTGTGGGATCGAGTACATTAAACATGGTTCTGAAACATCCAAAACCTGTGATAATGCCTTAGTACATGCTATCTTAGTAAAAGATAAATGGTTGGTTAGCACGTGTCTTAAAACATGAGTGTTTTTTGCAGGGACCAGGTGTCTAATACAGTAATTGCCTTACCAGCACCTGTTTCACTAATCAAGGTACCCCACGACTCTCGTATCACCATTGGTGACGTTACGCTATACCAGTGGTGGCAAACCTTTTTGAGCCTGAGTGCCCAAACCGCAATACATGCCAACTTTTTTTCCTCAAAGTGCCAACACGGCAATTAAACCTGAATACTGAGGTGTAAGTTTAGAAAAAAAACACTCATACAGTTGTCTGAACTAATTCTCCCCTTCTCTCCCCCCAGCATCCTCCTTTCTCTACCCACAGCATATCCCCCTCTCTCCCAGCATCTCCTCCTCCTCTCCCCGTCTCCCCCAGCATCTCCTTCTCCTCTCCCCAGATTTTCCTCCTCCTCTACCCCAGATTCTCCTCCTCTTCTCCCCCAGATTCTCATCTTTCTCTCCCCTTATCCCCCCAGCATCTCCCCCTCCTTCTCTCTCATTCGTCCCCCAGGTTCTTCTCTTCCTCTCCCTTTCTCCCCCCCAGCATCTCCTCCTTCTCTCCCTCAGATTCTCCTCTTCCTTTCCCCCAGATTCTCCTCTTCCTCTCCCCTTCTCCCCCAACATCTCCTCCTCCTCTTCTCCCCCAGCATCTCCTCCTCCTCTCCTCCCAGCATCTCCTCCTCCTCCTCTCCCCCCCAGCATCTCCTCCTCCTCCTCTCCCCAGCATCTCCTCCTCCTCTCCCCCTGGCATCTCCTCCTCCTCCTCTCCCCCCAGCTTCTCCTCATCTCTACCCCCAGCATCTCCTCTTCTCTCCCCTAGATTTTCCTCTTCTTTCCCCTCAGCATTGTCCCCTCACTAACCCAGCACACTCTCCCTCCCAGCACATAAATAATGTGTTTTGGGTTTTTTTTGGTGGTGGCTTGAAGTCCACCCAGGCTCCCTACCTGGTGGATCCGATTCCTTCTCACTGCTGTGAGAGGGTGTGAGCACTGACTATGTTCCACACAGATTGCTCGCGGGAGGACAGGAGAGCTGCTTCTCAGATCCCTCCCCCTGTCCTCCCGACACAGAAGCAGAGTAGGCACCTACCATTTTGGGCAGGCAGGTACCTACTCTGCATTGATGCCGACTGGCGACCTATGGCCACGTGCCCACAGAGAGGGCCCTGCGTGCCACCGACTCGCCGTCACTGCGTTATACCCAGTGTACACTGATGTAATTGAAAGTGCTATTGAGAGGGTGGATCCCTTCCAGAATCTAGACATTCCGCTAGATCCTACCCTAAAGTTCTTGCTAGACCATAAGCACAACCACACTATCCAAATGTCAATCAGACACATTCAAGTACTCTGAGCTAGATACTACCCTCATCACTCGTGTTGACTGATTCATCTATGTTAAAATTGTTATTGGGTTG